TCAAGTGCGGCATCACTCCGCAGACATGACCTGCCACATTGGTGAGGATAGGATTTCTGCAAAGGCATGCCCACCAAGTCAGATCTGAGATTGCAGGAGAAGGGCGCACTTCTCGATCAATGCACATTGCAGTTTGGCCACCCGAGACCAAGTGCATGATCCGATGAATATATCCAGCGTCAAAACCTTCCCTGAGCATAACTTTGCGTAGAAACTTCCAGTTTACCCTATCATATGCTTTCATGAACTCCAGTTTTAGCAAGACTCCCCGTAGATTTTTGATCCGAAGTTTGTGAACAATCTCTTGTAGCGCCAGAGCCCCGTCCAGGATAAGTCTACCTTTGAAAAACGATGTTTAACTAGAGCTAATAATTGTATGCGCCACCTCGGAGAACCTTGTGGCATAAGCTTTAGGAAAGATCTTGAAAATTACACTAATTAGCGTAATAGGGCGGAAATGCCTAATGCACCCCGCCCCTTCAGTTTTAGGAATAAGCATTCACATCCCAAAGTTCAACCTTGACATAGTACCGTGCCAAGGGCAAATCCATTGAGAATTTGAAGAACAAAACCCTTGACTGCCCCAAGAACTGCTCGAAAACCGATACCAGAAACCCACCCGGTCTCGAAGCCGTGTCAGCCTTCATGCTTTGCATCACCATATCAAGCTCTTAGTGTGGCAAAATGGCTGCCAAGTTGGCACCGTAGAGCTGCAAGGTAGTTGACGTTTATCTTAACTTTGTGGTAGCGGGAGCCCTGGTTGGTTATTTTTTAGAGAAAATGTGAAAACTTTGTGTCTTGGTGCATTGATTAGAAGCGGGTTTGTTTAAGCCCTGGTTGGTTCTGATGGTGAGAATGCTGAGTCTTCATTACAACTTTATATGACCAGAAAGTTCATTCTCTTGTTTTGTTAACTAACTTTTGAGAACTGTGTGAACGGTGAAATGACCAAAATGGGGTAAGTTTTGCGAAGTTTCATGGACTGGTAAAACATATATGTTTGCTGCTGCCTACTAATATAAATTGTTGTCCTGTCCAGCAATTCCATGAAACATTATCATGCAAAGCAAGACATGCGGTCAGGAGCACTTCACAGCCATCTCAGGAGGATCCCAAGCAACGCCTTGAAGCGAAGCTTGTGGCTGCTAAGCAGAAGAGGTAATCAAAAGAGGCAAACCGGTATGGTATATTATTTGATTCTTTTTGACCAAAGATTGAAGAATATTCTATAATTGTAGGTTGAGCCTCTTGGAGAAAGAGCAGAATCGTTTAGCTAAATCGGATGAGCTGCGTCAGGCTGCTAAGAAGGATGCAGAAATGAGGTTCAACAGGGAAAGGAAGGAGCTTGGCATGAGAGTTGAGCATCGGGTACAGCAAGCGGAGGAGAACCGTATTCAACTCTTGCATGCTCGTTTGCAGAGGCGAGCTGCGCTGGAGGAAAGGACAAAAAAGTTCTTTGGGCAAAGAGTGACATCAGAGAATAAGTACAGGGAGACAACAGCGGTGTTGGCTGCGGCCTTTGACGTGCTGGGAATAAATCAGGAATCTGCTAATTCTCTGCCATTTGAAAAACTAGCCCTCTGTATTGAATCTACAAAAGTTCTTCAGACCACCAGGGCATTGCTTGATTGCTTGGAGAGTCGTTTTATTCTTTCTCAGACATCAAGTTCATGCACACCAGAAAATATCGATCATCTGCTCAAGCACCTGGGATCACCAAATACGAGAATCCTACCAAGTAGTGCAGCAAGAGCTAGAGTAACACCGAAAAGGACAACTAAAAATTCTGACGCTGGCAAGTTACCTAGATATTCACCAAGGGTAGTGCTTTGTGCTTACATGATTCTAGGTCATCCAGGCGCTGTTTTTAATGTACAAGGCGAGCGAGAGAAACTACTTGTGGAGTCAGCAACAAACTTTGTGAAGGAATTTGAACTGCTGATGAAGACAATACTTGATGGGTTAGATGGTGCATGCATATTGCAGCAGTCTACATTAGGTGCAGTCTCTCCTGGATCTTCTAATAACCAGGAGTGTTCTTCAATTGCTGCAGATCAAACAAAATTCAGATCTCAGCTGGCTTCTTTTGATAAAGCTTGGTGTGCTTATCTTTACCACTTTGTGGTGTGGAAAGCAAAAGATGCCAAGTCGCTAGAGGTAGATCTCGTGACAGCTGCATGCAAGCTTGAGCTCTCAATGATGCAAACATGCAAAGTAACTACTGAAGGCCGGTCAGATAGCCTTAATTATACTAATATTAATTCGACAGCCATCCAGAAACAGGTATTATTCATAGTTTTATATCGCTGCTTCTTTTTTACGTTCTGCCATATCCCTTGTGTAGTTTTGGCCTTTTGGGTGCATATGATTTGTCTATTCAGCAGCATGATGGTGCATATGATTTGGTTTTGAACAAGTCTTATTTTGGGTGCATATGATTTGTCTTAATGTATCATCTGAGAAATAAAGCCTTGGGTGTTCTAAAAAACATGCTAGAATGTTAACACTTAGTTTATTTACTCCGATGCTCTTTTCTTGACATCTTCATAAGTGTAACATCTGCTGAAACAAAATTCTGTTTGTCGTCCAGGTTATGGTAGACCAGAAACTTCTAAGGGAGAAGGTTTGGCACCTAGGTGGTGAAGCTGGTATTGAGAGGATGGAACTTGCTTTATCAGAAACAAGGTCAAAGTTCATTGGAGCCAAGGAAAATAGGAGCCCCTTGGCAACATCAGATGCAAATGTCGCATCTCTTTCTGGACAGTCTCTTCTTTCTGACACCAAAGATAATTTGGGTACAGATGGTGAAAGGCTAGGTAGAGTTGTTCAATCTTTGTCCAAAGCTTCTTCTTCAACGTCTCAAAGTAACATTAGAGACAACGGTGGTCAAATGAGCAGCACAGGGTCAGGAGAGCTGCCAACAGAGAATGAGCTTGTCGGATATTTGTTGAAAGCTTCCCCTTCACCATCTGAAAGTAACTCAGGAGACAAGGTCATCAGCAGCCAAATGAGCAGAGCGGTGCCAGAAAAGCTGCCAACAGAGAATGAACAAATGGTCAATGAGATTTTGCATGGTTCTTTTTCTGATAGCTCTGATGACGTTGGTAAAGTTGAGGGGGATTTCAAGGTTAGGTCCTCTCGTATATTAGAATATTACCGTCGAGCTTCACACCTGGGGTAATCTAAGAACCAAAAATGTGTATCATGGTGGAGAATCTGTGTGAGCTTTGAGTGTCTAGGGGAAGTCAAACGCCATGATCTAGGGTGTAGTTTTTTCCAGTGTAAGATGCACCTCCGGTTAAGTAGTATGTTATTTTCTCAGTCGCCCACTTTTTTATTCTCAGGCACAAGTTAGGGAAACAATGGAGAAAGCTTTCTGGGATGTGGTTGTGGATTCAATGAAAGGAGACACACCAGATTACAGTTATCTGGTCAACCTAGTAAAGGAAGTCAGGGATGCATTGCAGCAGATGGCTAGTAAAGGGTGGAAAGAAGAAATAGCAAACAATATTAACATCGAAATATTGTCCCAGGTAAGAAGAGTCTGAGTGAGTGTTATCATGAATCTATTAAATACATCTGTACCGACGAATCTTTTCTTGTGGAAAGGTACTTGAGTCGAGCACCCAGGGCACACAATATTTGGGGCAGATTCTGCAGTACTCTCTGGGCATGCTGCGTAAATTATCTTCTCCTGCAAAGGAAGACGAAATGAAGATCAGTCATGACAAATTATTGAACGAATTGATCGGACACTCTGATTCTCATGATAGAGATCCAAATGCATTTGTAATAGCTGTCATCAAGGGCTTGCGGTTCACTATGGAAGAGTTAAAGGTTTGTATAATCCTTAATACTACCTCGAGGTTTTGAATAATTTACACTGGCTATACAGTGAAACTATAGCATCATTCAGAAACTAAATATTTTTTTATTAAACAGGCTCTTCAGTCTGAAGTCAGTAGAGCACGAATCCAACTACTGAAACCAATTATAAAGGGCTCAGGTGGGGTCGAGTACCTGCAGAAAGCTTTTGCCGATCGCTATGGATCCCGTTCCAATGCATTAGTTTCTCTCACTTCAACTATTCAGTGGATTTCTACCTCAAAGGATATGGTAGAAGAAGAATGGAATGAACATGTCAGCTCCTTACAGATCCTGCCTGCATCAGACCATGTTAGTTTCATGTTCTTAAATTTTACTCCTAGTAAACACTATGCACAGCCACTGTTTTAAGCAGTAATAATAGACAAGTAGTTGTGGTTTTTACCCGCCGTTATTGATTAAGCTACAGACCCCTATGGGCTGTTTGAAGCAACACTAGCCTAAGTATTTATGGTTCTCATCTGCTGCTGTTGATTGAATCTACGCCTGTCTGTCATAACAGGTTCAGCCATTGGTTACGACCCTCCGAGCTGGTCGTGGAACTCCAGATCAGCAACAATCTACAGTGCCTGTAGCAGGTATTTGCTCATTAATTTTATGCTGGCCATTTACCTGAGTTTGTTAATCACGTTACATAACATGAAACAGGAAGTACAGAGATACTACCAGAGTGCTCGGGAGAAATGCTCGACAGGCTAGTAAGGATTGGGCTGTTACAGCTTATCAGCAGGATGGAGGGCATGGAAAGAAAATCAGTACCTGAGACATTTAAGCTCAATTGGTTGAGGTTGCGTGGTGTCCAGAGTCAGTTCCAACAAGTGATTGTTATCGCAACAAGGTGAAATTTTATGTTGTCTTCATTATTACGTAATAATATCAGAGCACTAGAATGCATTGACTGAACCTAGTTATGTTCTTCTTACAGCATGCTTGTCCAGCGTCAAGTATTGATGAGTGAGGACTCAAAGGCCACTTCCTCAGAACTGGAAAATGTTACCTTGGAACTGTTCAACACGCTCGCAGAGCTATTAGACAGTTTTTCTGATGTCGGCACGGATCAGATCATCGAGGTGATGGTCCGTTCGTCGACCTCGGCCGGCCCTTGTTCGGATGAAATGGTTGAGAACAGGAAGCAGATATTGAGCAGGGTCTTCCTCAAAAGCCTCCAGACTGATGACACTGTCTTCAGGAAGGTGTCTCGATCTGTTTACTGCGCGTTCCGTGCAGTCGCCCTGGGTGGCAACGGGACGAAGGGCAGGAAACTCGCCGAGGCGGCCCTGGGGCGCATCGGAGCGACAAAGTTGACCGACCGCGTAGTGAAGGCAGCGGAAGTGCTGATCAGAGTAGCAACAATATCAGAGCAGGTTCATGGCCCGTGGTACAGTCATCTCCTGTAAATGACTTGATTTGTTTTGTGAATCCGTGGTGCTGTGTAAACAGGGTGGGTGATCGTAGCCGCTGGGGCGCACATCGCCGTGCATCCCCGGTGGAAAATTCTGCAATAGTTTTCTTCTACGATCACTGGAACAGTTCTTCTGTTTTGTCCGTGACCACACGCTGGCTTTTGTGCACAGTTATCTACTCCTTCGGTCCCAAAATAAGCTAGTACAAAGTTGAGTCACTTATTTTGAGATGATGGGCGTACTATTCTTAAAAAGTTGATCCCCACTATTAGCAATTCTCTTTACATGCATGTTCTGCCACAATTATTTTTTACAATCCAGGTGTATATAAATGTAGTGCTATATAAGTTGAGTGGAACCACATACGCGAGTAAGATTGAAGCTGTGCGTTCAGTCAAGGTGCAAACAAGCAATTCATATTGCGGTAGTATCTCAGCATATATTTTGTTTGAAGCCCTGTTGGTCATGATGTTTTTTCATTTATTTTCTCTCTATATTGGTGTTCTCATTAAAATAAATTATGTGCTAGTATTTTTTTAGTTGCATGGTCTCCTCTTCCACTGATATGAATATACTATTTTTGATCATATAATAAAATACTAAGATCTTGCACAAAATTGGATTTTCTAACTCATTTTTTTTCTTACTGTGTCTTCCTCTCTTTTGAGCTCTTTGTCACACAATAACATCCCAATGCAACGTTGCGGGGTATTATCTAATTATGACTAAAGGAGATGCGTTTCGAGGAGGTTAGAGCATCTCCAACGGCTGCCCTATTTTAGGGAATAACCATTTTTTTATGTGAAAAAAACGCGGCTTCAACAACTGGCTTTGTTGCAATTTTTTCCCGATTTTTTAAGCAGCATAGAAGGCGGTGCCTGCTCCATACTTTCGGTACACGCGTGGCTGCCGCAAATGCAAAACCGTGCCGCACGCAGCCCAACTACCCCTGTCCGAAACATTCTTGTAGCT